CATAAATAAAAACTAAATATATAACACTATAATATTAATATCATTATATTATTAAATTAATTCATAAAAAAGTGTTATGACATTTGTTTAAACTGTATTTCCTTTAAACTGTTTAAAAATAATTTTTAAAATTATGGTATATAGCGAATAATGTATATTTATACGTATTAGTGATATACAAGGAATTTAAAAGGATAATTCTAATAAAATTATAATTTCCCTCCCCCTTTTTTTATGGTTTAGGTATGGTCCCAACAAACTCGATATATGAAATTAGAATCATATAAAAGTTGAAATGTTAGTATTATACATAAAAGCAGATTTATCATGGTACATTCACATAATATTGAAGCACAAATCATATAAAACTGAAAGTATAACCAAAAATATATTTTTAGTAACATAATAATTAATTATAATAAATATTTATTTATAATATTCCTTTTAATTAAATAATTATATATTGATTGATTAAAATATTGTATTAGAATATCTTGAATTGTTTTATTAAAAATCATTGAAATAATATATTTCTTGTAGAAGAAAATATGCAGTGAACATATGTAAGATAACTATGTGTAAATAATAGAAATTATTTATACAAATATTTTGTTTCTCCAAAATATAATAATAAAACATTTTTTATTCATTCTCAAAATTAATATATTTGTTTACTTTTTTTTTTTATTTTATAAAATTTTCTTACTTTGTAACAAGATTATGTAAATATATATTATATATCGACCAATATTTCCTATGTTATAATCCTACAATTTTAAGAAGTATATATATTTTTGATCAGATAATATTTATAATGATAATAAAAATATTATTTGTCCATGATATTATACTTTTTTAATTTTTTTGTTTTATAATTAATTTCTTTTTGTTCATATATACTTATGTATAAATAAAATTATATATAAAGTCTCATTTATATAATTTGAGACGCGTATATTTTAATAATAATATAAACCTTAATAACAATGTATATTTTTATTGTTATTATAGACAAAAAACCTACCATAGCATTTGTGCAGGTCATAGATAACTGTTATTTGAATATATTAATTTCCTCACAATAGTAAAATTTTCCATTAATAGAATTAATAATATTAGAACTCTGGATGTATATATTCCAGATGTGTTATCACAGTACATTATGCTTAACGTATTAATATTTATTAAGCTTATATTATTTTATTTATACTTTATAAAAATATATTTCTTCAATTTTTACTTATATATATAAATTTATGAAAAAGTGTTTTTTAAGTATAAGATAATTTTTTTGTCCATATAATTCATTACATTAGCGTTAATATAAGAATTATATATAATAATTCATTATTTTCCAATAATGTTAATCAATAATTTTTGTATGTATATGATATCATATTAAAAATAAGGATTATGTATGTAAGCACATTGTGAGTATGAATATGCTTTGTAATAGAATTTATATTTGTTACAAAGAGTAAGAATGTTTTTAAGTTATTAATATATATTGTTTATGCATTCAAAAAAATATATTTTTAAACTTAGTATATCTTCATAATAAAATAATATTATGAATTAATATATATATACATGTTTTATAATTTTATACGCAAAAGTAGATATATAAAAATATACATATATTATAAAAGTAAATTCATAATATTATAATCTGTAGAAAAAATTTAATATAGCATGATATCAATATTTCATAAATAAAACGTTCTACATTTATGTTATAATATATTTTATTTTTGTAATATTTAAATTAGCATCTATACACATCAGCCAATACAATGTCATAATAAATATGAATGCATAAACAAATATTTAAAAAAATTATCAAATTAATAAATTTGTATTCGGATTTTTGTCATAATGAGTTAATATAATGGATATAATCAAAAGCATTACGTTAATACATATATATATTATTCTATTATCATGTTTACATAAATACTTAACACAAATATGTTATCATATTTAGTCTCTATATGAATAATACGAATTAAATATTTATATTTTTATTTATTCCATGAATCAATTTTCTAAAAATTTGTTAAATTTTTAATATTAAACACATAAATGTAATTAAAAAATATTATATTACATTATGCATGATATTTATATGTTGTATGATGAATTATTTATTAAACTCATATTTCACTATGGAATACGTTATGAAAAACCGATTAACTCATTTAATAAAATTTTCTAGTAAAATATTATTATTTTAACATAAGTATTAATTCACATATTTAATTAGATTATTAATTTCAATTGATATATCATTTTTAAATTATACATTTACATTTTTTTTATATATAAATTTGTTCACAAGGAAAAACGCTCTAAAATAATTTTATGACTATATTGTAGTAATATACATTAATGTAACTCATGATATTACATAATAATTCATAAATGAATAATTATCATTTAAATTTCTTCTATGAAATTGTAAAAATATGCTTCATATTAGGAACTCATACATTTACCATCATGAATATACAACGATGCATAAAAAATAAATTTTTTTACATGTAGAGAATAAAATCATCCATAATAAAAGTATATTATCTATTTGTCAGTAAATTTTTATTCGAATTATTTGAATATTCATATATTTTAAAATAATACATGAAACTCAATAAGGTAGCTTAAATTGGAACTGATATAGCACACGTATATATAAAATAATAATAAGACATGATGATTGTTATATAAAATAAAAGTTTTTTATAGAATATGTTTGTTTGTATTGTTTTTTCAGTTATTAATTATTTTATATCCTTTTACATTATTACTATTACATTATTTTAAATATTTCTACAGTAGGTAATGCAGTAATAAACATCTAACATCCCTTGAGATATATTATGTTGTGATATTTACATGTTTTAATTATATTTCAAAGAAGGATTTATATAAATTCTGTATACATATGTAGAATATATTCATGTCTCATAATATAATTCTCACTTGAAAAATACATTATCAGTGATGAATATTAGTTTCAACAGTTAGGAACGATACACAATTATTATTAAAACATTTAGTATTATTATAAATATCAATAAAATATTAATTCACATAAGATATCAAATAAGAATTAAAATTTTTTTTTTATTTTTAAATTAAATACAATAATCATTATACAAGCGGCAAAAATATTATACAAATATATAAAATAATATAAAATTTATGATAAATATTATACATCTAATTTTAATTATGATATATATATAATAAATCTTCTGTGTTATTTTTATATTCTAGGATTAAATAATTTTCTCTCTAATATGTGTTATTTGCGAGTGTTTATATAAATTCAATTATAATTCCTCAATGCTTTAAATGGATAGTATATATATTAGGTATTTGTGTTGCTTATGTTTATATGAATTATGTGAATAAATTAAGAAAGGTAAGAAGAAAGCAGTACTAAAATATCATTCATTAGTTTAAAAGTGTAATAAAAAATATTTACGTTTAAATCTTTACCTATAATTATTTATTAATTAACATAAATATTTTAAATAGTTTTTTAATATTACCAGAATATTTATGATTAACAACACTCTGAAAACATTGATTTAACTAACGTATTCATGGACGTAAAATACATATGTATAGACCAATATATATTAAACGTAGTTTATTTATGGATATATCAGTTTAAGAGGTATATATATGTTGAATATTATATTATAATTAATGATATATAAAATATGCTATTTTCATTAACCTAAACGTTAATATTATTATATATTAGAGAAAAACATTAGATATGCGACTATAAAATGTGCTATTATAAAATGTACAAAACGATTTTTATATTATATTAATACTTATATGAAAATAATTTTATCTGTATGCTATAATAATAAATATTTATTATAATGTATATATATCCATAATTTATACTTAATTAAAATATAAAAATAAAAAATTAAGTATATCCATGTGTAATATTTATTATCATTTCATTCTAACTTCGTATTAAATAATAATAAAACTTATGTTATTATTACATACAAATCGTTGTATTAAAATAAATATATATTATATATAAATTACCATAATTAAAAATAACTAGTTTTTATTATAATTAATAATATAATATAAAAGACACTGAACTTAAAATAAACAGTAGATCCAGTGTACATTAATATAATATTATGTAAAATTAAGAGTAATTTTTTCTTTTTCATTTTCAGGTATTTCAAATACATGTATTTTTAATAAATATCGTATGTATATATATAATTACACATTACAATATAAAAAAAATTAAACTGTATTGTAGTATACTTTTAATACTCATAAAAATAATTAATAAATGATATTTTGAATTTTAGTAAATGACGCATTTTATTTTAATATTTTATTATAATTTATATTATGTATTAAATGATAATATATTAGTAATTTATTGAGTATTTAAAACATATTATGAGTGATAATACATTTTTTTTTGCGTTGTTATATATGATGAATTGAACTTTTCTATACCTTTCTTATATAAGCACTCAGATTACAGAACAAATAAACATGATATTTATATTAATATATTACTTTTTATCTTATACACTTATCAAGGATATGATATATTAGCTTGTGAGCACATAGTAGTACCCTCATTTAGGTGTAATTCTTGTTAACTTCTTGATTTATTTTAATAATCTTTAATTTTTTGTATAAGTACAACGTTTCTTTTTGTATATCAAGCCCCATAACTTATTTGTTCCAGTATATTGTAATGCATTATATTAAATAAGAACCATTATATAAAATATCGTAATCAATAAAAATAAAAACAGAATGTATTATATGTACGTTGATTAATGGAATTAATTATCATTGTGTATAATTATTATTTAGGAAAACAATAATAATATATAATGTTATATATTTAGATTCATATGGTATTATTTATTATCCAAAAGCATCTACTGTATTTTAAATAATCAATATAATTGCGTTTTTCATTTTTTATAAAAATGATAAACAAAGCATTATATACGCGTTTAATAAATACAATGTGTGGTGTATATATATCAATAATAAAGGCACTCTATTACAGTCCTACATTAATTATATAATTATTCAAAAGAAAAATCTTATGTTTCTTCATAAACTATGTTTTTATTTTTTGGAATAAACATTTTTATATTCATATATTTTATTAAAATATTGGATTTTGTTTCATAAAAATATAATCACTTATGGGATGGCGGATATAAGTGTATGTTTAATTAATTTAAATATAAAATTAAAATACGATTACATTTTACTTTTTATAAATATATAATTTTACACTTAAGAGAAATTTTTCATATTTGAATATATTATTAATTTAATTTTACTTTTAGTCTGAATCTATTGTGAAAGAATTTTCTGAATATAAGGCCTATATGGATAGCTTTGTAAGATATGGGGATACTAGATATAATTCTATTTGTAGTGATAAAATATTAAATAGTTTTTATGATTCTAAAACCATAGATAAGAGATTATGCATACAATCTGCTTCTCATATAGCAGATATATATTATAAAGCTGCTTTTAATAATCCTACAGACGGAAAATGTTCGTTCTTGTATTATTGGATATATCATTATCTTATCAAAAATAAGAAAAGTAATGAAACCAAAAATCTTTTTAATGTATTGCTTAAGGCATATGAGAATTTTATTGGGAACTACCAATTATGCAGCAAGTATAAACCTACTAGTGCAGAACATATTTTGAGCAAACACACATATATATATGATATGCATATGTGTATTAATAAGGAATATGAAAAAGGAAATACTAACAAAATGCCTTTTTGTGAAGCACTTAATAATATCATAGATGAAAAAAATAAACAAACACAAGAACTTATACAAGCACTAACAGAACCTCAACCTCAAGCTATTGAAATTTCTGAAGCATCTGCATCATCCAAGTGCAGGTCTAATACTGCAGTTCCTATTTTAGGTACAATTATACTGATAATATCAATATATTATTTATTTTTGTTCGTGGATAAGGTTAATTCATATATTATTCTTTATAGATACTATAAAATAATTTTTTTAAATAATTTAAAAAAAAAAAAAAAGAAAAATTTATAATTAAAAAAATACATTTTTAATGCTTATATATTTTTGTATTACGCGTAGTTCACTCCATATGGAAAATTGTTGCGTCGAGCAAAAAAAAAGTTAAAATATAAATGGGATAAATCGTGGAAAAGTAATGTATTGGAAAATTATGATATACGAAGTAGTATTCCAGAGGCGTGGGATTATAATTTATTATACAATTGAATAATTTTACCAATAAACATATAATTCAAAACAAATGATAGATGTAAGTAACATTGACAAAAACATAGGAAAATTAAGTTTGTTATAGATGAAAAAAAAAGCATATTTATACTAATTCTACATATGAGTACTTGTAGAAGATGAGCAAGAATAAATAAATTTATGTTAAAAAAGCATTCGTCTTTGATACTATTATTTTCAAATAATATACAGAAAAATCTTTTTTAATATTTCTAACTGACGAATGTATATATATATTTTTAGAAAATTGATGAATCATGGTTGTATGTGTAATAAACATTTAAGAAAATATAAGGAATCTATTGTTAATACCATTATTTTTTTAAATTTATATTCTAATTAAAATAGAATTCTTAATTAGTGACCTATGCATTCATATAAGAGAAAATTAGAACTCAGTTTCAAATGTTATAAGATGATTATGCTATATATAAACATGTAATTATTATTTCATTTCATAATTAGTAATACATAATTTTTACGATAATATATTATTTAAAAACTTATCTCATCATTATTCCTATATATCTAAAGCATTTTATATATAAATTTTTCTAAATTCATAGTCACAATAATTTGCCGATATTAAGATCCTATATAAAATATTTTTAAAAGGTAATTTATTGAAAATTGATACATTTCCTTTTTTATTATATATAATTATGAAAATTTATATTTTATATAAAACTTTTTTTTCTCTTTGTCATTTATTATATAATATATTAAAAATTATTATAATTTCATTATATTTATTTCTTATGTAAATTAGTCATGATTATCCTACATGTTGAACAGACATTAGTTTGTATTTTTCATTTTCATATAAGAATTACGAAGTATAATAAATTTTTTTCTTTTATATTTTATTCAATATTTTTTTCACTAATAACTAACACCACTGAATAACATATATGAAATAACATATTGTGAAGAAAAATATAAAAAAATCAGGATACATATAAATGAAATATTTTAATAATATATTAATAAAATTTGTGAATAATACGTATAATCATAACATATTTATTTTTTATTTTTTTGTATAATAAAAAGGCAAATGTTAAAAATTATATTATAGAAAATGTAACTATAGCTGAAACTAAAATATTATCCCTACACTTTTGAGACACACATTTGGAGATATTATTGTAAATTACATTTAAAATAAAATATACCTATTAAATTTTGATGAACTCTAGGTCAAGCATAAAAAGGTACACTTCTATGAGATTTGTCTATTTATATGTTAAATACATATACCAAAAAATGTTATAAAATAATGGAAATTATTAATTTTAAAAAAATCACACAAAAATATATAAGAATTGATAAAAGAACGTTAAAATATTATGTTTTTCTGTTATTTCAACTCTAAATGATTTTATTAATATGAAGTATATTACCCAATAATTGGAATTATTAGAACACTTCATAAAAAATTGTAAAATATTAAATTATAGTATTTCAACTTTTAAACGTATTTCGTATTACATAACCTTTGTATAGCATTATTTAGGATAATGTTTGTACATGTTATTTTAATAAATATGTTTTGCTCTCAATGGATTCATAAAATTATGGTCCAGAGTATAACTTCATCATTTTATGTGTTATTCTTTATTCCTGATAATTATCGATTTCGTTTTTTCTCTTAGGTTTATTTATTTTACATTTTAATTCATTGGAGCTTTACATCAATAAAATGTATTTCATCGTGAACTGTATCCTTTTGTTGTATATATATACAGTTTGTAATATACCCCCCTTTATCAGACATTTATAGTTTTCATCATTTAATGCATTTATTTATAAAATTGACACGTTGATATTATTTATGTTGATGCATATTACATTAAGCAACGGGATATGTTTCTTATACGGCATATTTCTCTATATCTTTCTCATCAGTATAGTGTTCACATGATACATCTCATTTAATAATGTTTCAATGAATATAAAATTAAAAACAAAAGACTAATACTATATATATAGTTTGTGTAAAGGTATTATATTTTGTGCTTTTATTAATTATTTTGTAGAAAAATAATTATATATATATTATCATTATATATAATGTTCAATTTATTCTATGATAAATTAACTTTTATACTCATTAATAAATTATGTAAATAAATTAATAATTGTAAAGCTATAATTTTAATATAGAGCTGTTTATAATAGGACACATTTATTTTAATTATTCTCATTAAATATTTTTTAATCTGATAAAATAAATTATATATTTCACAATAATAAATACTGTAAGGTTTGTCTAGTAAAATAGGTATTTTTTCAATATATATTAATTAATGAAAATTCATGCAATGATAAAGTAAGTTTTTAGTGAATTTAATCAGAAAATAATTATAAATCTTTTTAAAATTATGTAGTATATTTCTTTCTTCAAAAATATGTCTTTCAAAGAATAAAACATTTCTATATAACCCTAGCTATTTGTTTTGTGTTATATAATATGCCGTATACATTTATTACGTATATTCAATTTTATATGTTCAGTTAAAGTAAGACATGAAATTATCATTAAACATATTATATATTAAAGCACAACAGCAATTAATATATTTAATATTATTATTGACTTTTATATTTCCATTGAAAAACATGCAAGGCGTTTATATTTATTCCGAACACTAAATGATACTCATGTTACATGAACATATAATTTTAATTGAAAGAATGATAAAATGTAAAAGTATATGCATATGTAGCAATTAACATAGTGTACTATAATCTTCAATAATGATAAAAAATATATATATCATAATAAAAATTCAATATTATTTAGGATGAACTATTATTACATTATTAAAATATAAAAATAATATAATACTAGATATAACAAATAATAAAAATATGGTAAATAAAATTACATGCACCTTATATATCATGCAAAATTTAATATTACATTTTGTATGAAAATATTAACAATGAATTTTTAAGATATAAAGCTATGCTTATTGTGAAAAAAAGTCAAGCATAACTATGAATAGTGTAAAATGATAATTAATAGTTAGCACATATAAGTATTTAGTTTATATTATATATTAATAAATATTTATAATATAATATAAATTACATATATTTAAAATTTAAAAATAGATATTACCTAACCTGCATAATTTTTTGAAAAATCAAGCTAAATATATTACACACTCATCCATAAACATTGAATATTAATCCTAAACAATAATGCTATCCTAAAATTACATATATGCGTTATTTTATATATAAATAATGGAATAAAAATATTATGAATTAGCACAATTTGTATAATAAATATTTTATATAGAAAATTAATCATATATGATGCTTATTATGAAAATGCAAGAAAAAAAAAGAAGAAAAAATTATAATAGAAAAATTACATTTTTAATAGATAATATTTTTATAGTTTATTAATTAGTTATCCCCACATGATCCATGTTTTAGTCGTGTAATAATAAAGATAATAAACAAGTGGGAGCGTATCAATGAAAAAGAAAAAAATATGTTTGTAAAAATATGATACCTCTAATAGTTTCTCATGGGATAGAAAATATAATATGTTGTATAAATCTGTCCAATTTCTCTATTAAATATATAATTCGAATAGGATATTCTGTTTAAGATGTATATTGATGATATAATAAAATTATGTGAAAAATCATTCTATTAATTACAACATTTGGAAACAAAATAACCCAAAAACTGTAAATAAGAAAGAATAGACATTAATTTATAAATTTAATAATATGGTGTTTCAAAATATTATTTATATTAGTGTTAATATCGATTAACATAACTGTGAATGAATATTATATATTTATTGTTTTTATATTGTGTAGCTTTCAAGGATATAATATTTTTAAGATACAATTTATTATTTCTATTTAAAATAATATATGATACATTGTAATAAATAATAGCACATTTGGTAATTAAAAATTTTGATAATGATTTACTATACGGATTGTAAATACTTTCTATATAATTCATCGTATTTTAAAATATAATATCATTGAAAACCATTACCAATTGTTATTTGAACATATTATTAATTAGATTTGAATTGTATCACATTATATTATTTATGTAATGTTTTTCAATGAAAAACATATCATGTGCTCATACAATTATAACAATAATATCTGAATATTTATACTGTATATGTTTATTTTTACATATATGGACAGAAATTACATAATATCGTTAATTTTTTTTATTTCGTTTTATTGAGACATTTTGTTTCAATAATTTCATTTATTTGTGTTTTAATTAATATCGAACATCTTTACATTTTTATAATGTTGTGATACAATTCACATTACAATTATGAACGCGGATAAACTTAATGCAAAAGCATATATTTATACCTTTTTTTAGTTATTATTAAATGTAAAACAATTATATATATATTTATCAAATTAAAGAATAAGCTAAATCATAATTTCACCATATAATCTTTTATTCTCATGGAATTTAATATTTTTTCACATACAGTTATAAAAAGTAGAAATTTCACACAGCACTGTTTTCTACACTTAATATACATACTCACTTAATTTTCTCAATATAAAATTTCCCATGCCAAAGCATATTTTTTTTTATACCTTTTTGTATACAATTTTTTTTTTTTCAATGCATAATTTGATACAGCAGTAGACACTCGTTAATATTTATTTATATTTTATTTCTTAGTTTTTAAATTACATTAAACTTATCGCAATATAATGGCATATAACTACAATAATTATGTACATTACTAATGAAGGATATTAATTTTATTAGCATTTAACTATGAGACATCTTTGTCGTTTCTCATCAAATAACTTTTACAACGCTACTTAATGTTCTTATCTTCTTGGATCAGAATTATTATTACATTTAATATTTTTTCAATATTTTTAAATCATGCTAATTTTCAATAAATGCATCTGAATATTAATTTCCTTTAATAGATCGAACTTTTACATTGTGCT